CGCCTCTTTTTCCCTCGTTCACAGTTACATATGAGGTCCCTCTTGCACTTTCAGTTACACCGATAAATAGTGGTTTCTTATTTTGATTGATGACCACACTCGAACGATGTGGGTTTATATTCTAAAAAATAAATCAGAAGTTATTGTCACCTTCCAAAACTTCTACACTTTCATTTTGAGCAAATTCAAAATTTCAATTCAGGTTCTTCGGACCGACAATGGTCATGTGTTTTCTAACTCTATTTTAGGAGAATTTCTGGTAAGTGCATCCTCCATCATGGCTTGTGTACGGATTCTCGGCAAATGGGGTATTCGAGAGGAAAATTCGACATCTTCTTGATGTTGCTCGCTCCATTATATTTCAATATAATGTCTAAAAATAATTTTAGGATGATGTCATACTACTTATCACTTATCTCATCAATATAGTTCTCACTAAAATTCATAACTTCTGAACCCTTTTAGCCGTCATGATGTCATATTTTCCCACCAATCGAGTCTTCATTACGTTAGATCCCAAAATATTTTGGGTGCACGACCTTTGTTCGGAGCACTGCCCCACTCATAGTTAACTGGATCTCAGATCTATAAAATGCCTTACCCGGGTACTCCGTCACTCAAAAGGGGTATTAGTACTTGGTTCTTATCACAAATAGAATTTATGTGCGTGTGGATGTCTCCTTTTTTTGAAGTGTTTCCTCTTTTCCTGACTTGGCCTCAAGTGAGGGGGTGCTAGTGTTCTTGGACATAGTTTTATATCCTACTCTTGTAAATCTTCCCTCCGATGTTTCTGCCATAGTTCTACCATCTCCTCCTCCCACTCTTCGTATCTATACTCAGCGCACTCGTTTCAATGCACCTACTCTAGAAAGTGCTATCTCCTTGCCGGACATTGAATCTATCTCGAGCGACGTCCCCAACATAACTCCAACTGCAAATGAGGAAGTGGGTTCTCCAAGCAAGGTATGCAATCAAACATGCTCATTCCATGACAAAATATCTCTTTTCGCAGTCTATCGCCGACCCACAGAGCATTTGCTACTGCCCTAACGGACCATCAAATCCCAACTACCATTGAGGCAGCACTAGTAGATTATGCCTAGAAGGTTGCAGTGATTGAGGAGATGAATGCCCTTTTTGATGGAACCATACGTGGGATGTAGATATTCCTCGGGGAAAGAAAGCATAGGATGCCAATGGATTTTAGCATGAAATTCAACTCCGATGAGTCTTTTAAACGCAACAAAGCGCAGCTGGTTGCCAAAAGGTACTCACAGACCTATGAAATTGATTATGAGGAGACATTTGCTCCGATGGCTGAGTAAAACACCATTTGGGTCCTGTCGTCTCTTGCGATGAGTCTGGATTAACCCTTAGTCCAATTCCATGTGAAGAATGTGTTCCTGAACGGAGATCTCACAGAGCTGTATATTTCATTCCTCCAGGCTTTGAATCTATTGTCTCCCAAGGGCAAGTGTGTTAGTTGCGAAAGTCCCTCTATGGACAAACAATTCCCACGGGTCTGGTTTGGCAGATTCACAAAGGTGCTGGTGGGCCGCGGTTTTACTCAAGCTCAATCAGATCACACTCTCTTCTTCCGATATTCATTCAATGGCCAAATTGTCATCCTTATTGTTTATGTCGATGATATTGTGCTTATAAATTACGATCTACTAGCATTAGACTTTTTGTAAGGCCTTTTAGGTACATCATTTGAAATGAAGGATTTGTGATCTCTTCGGTACTTCTTGGGCTTAGAAGTTGCTCGGTCATCTCGGGGGATTTGTCTGTCTCGACGCAAATATGTATTTGACATGTTAAAAGTGAACAATCTTCTTCTGTGCGAACTAGTGGCTGTCCTGATGGATCCTAATGAAAAATTAGCTGATGTTCAAAATGTTCTTGTAAATAAGACACGCTACCAATGCTTTGTGGAGAAACTCATCTACTTTGCCCATACACACCCCGACATATGCCATGCAGTTGGTATTGTAAGTCACTTCATGCATGACCTTTATGAGCATCATTTCCAAGCTATCCATCAGATTTCTTCATTATTTAAAAGACATTCTAGGCTCAGGTTTGTTTTTTTACGACACAATGCGCTCTATTGTTGTTTACATAGACGTTGATTGGGTTGGGTTTGTCCATGACCGGTGATCTACCTCTGAGTACTACTCATTTGTGTGGGGAAATGTCGCCATATAGAAAAGTAAAAAGCAGTCATTAGTTGCCAGGAGTAGAGTTGAAGTTGAATTTCGGTTCTATGTGATTGGGGATCTCTGAAGTGGGATTAAGGCTTTGTTGTTGTTGTTGTTGTTGTTGTTGTTTTCATTGGGGATCTCTGAAGTTCTTGGGTTACACATCATGCTCCACAAACTACGTATGCCGACCTCTGTCTCTCTACAACTGTTCTGTTACAATAAGGCCGCCATCAGCATCTCTCACAACCTGATCCAGCTTGATCGTACCAAACATGTGGAGATTGATAGAAACTTCATTAAGGAATGCTCAAGTTCGGGGAAATTTGCATTCTTTTTGTGCCCTCCAGTGGCCAGCTAGCAGATATCCTCACTAGGAATCTTTCTCGGCAATTGTTCGATGGCTTCAAATCTAAGTGAACATGGCTGACATCTATGCTTCAAATTTCTTTGTATTATTTTTATTATTTTTATTGTGAGTGTCCTTGTAATTGGGTATATATACCTTTTCTTTCTATAAAAAAAAAATTCAAGCTGCTCTATTTACAAATTCAACAAATTTAAATCTTTTTTAAAGCATGAATTCTTTTTCGAATTTGTATTGCCTTAATTCTTATTTAACATTGTGGTTTTCTTTACCTGTATACTACAACTTTGTTTTTTCTATACTGCGTTTTGGACTGCATGGTGGATTGTGTCTGCAAGAGTGCCATTGTTTGATGTAAACCAAATGGTAAAGATTGATGTTTGATGTTAACTTGACAACAATCGGCAAAACTTATTCTGAAACTAATCAAACGATCTTATTTGGATTTGACCAATACCAAGGCCAGAGATGTTGTACCATGTCTTTAAGTTAATTTAAGTAAGAAATTAACAATAATATACTTAACATAGCAATTATAAGTAATGCATCACAACTTAATTTAATTATGGATAAAAATAAGAAGATTTTATCAGGATATCACTTGCAACTGACATGCTTCATTTTAACTAGATCGTGTTAAAAAGTAGGCAATGGTTGTGTAGGATTTGACTTGCAATTAATGCAACACAATTCAATTCCGTTAGACTTAAAAATATGCAAGGTTGATTTTGTTTAATATTAAGGTTAGATTTGCCGCATGGACTTTAAGAGCTTCGATAAGTTAAGGAAATTGGTCAACACATAAATTAAAGGAACAATTAAAATATTAAGTGCTAACAAGAAACTTGGGGGCTATTTTCTTGGAAGTATAAGGAGATCCACTGTGTTTTGGATACAGTATAATTTGAACTTCACATATTTAAATTGAGAATTTGAAGTATTGAAAAAAAACCTGCATTCAATGAAATCTATGGCAAGATAGGGTGGCATCAACGGAACAATTGGTTTTATGGGAGAGTGTTGATGGGTCTGCAACTTTTGAAGCCCCGCAATAATGGCTTGGGGAGCTGGCATTGGCAGGACCAGTGACCTGCAATACCGACAACTTCTAGAATTTATGGATTATGGGAGCTTGCTTCTGTGCCTTCATGATGGGACAGTTGGCGCTCACTCGAGAGAGGAGTGGTGAATTCATAATTCATTAGATTTAAGCAAATTTTAAATTAAGAAAAAATGAATTAGGTGTATTTAGAAATCATTAGAAATTTAACTTGATTTTGTCTTACTTTGCACCAATCATTAAAAATGAAAATACCGGTGTAGGGACAACCCCCAAATGGAAATGAAAAAATATCAAAAGGTGCTATGCATTAGGATGCAACTTTTAGAGTTAAAGGTAGAGTTAAAGGCTTGATTGTTAAAATGTAGTGCTTTTGGTAATATTATTTAATAAGTGGTATATAATGGGGATTTAAAGGTAAATTTAATAAACTTCAATTAGGTTGAATGGGTTGTGTGGACCGAGTATCTTGATGCTAGATGGTGGAAAAACTAGGTAGGAATAGTTAGCTATGATTATGTTGGATGGTTAGTCAAGCATTTATTGAGGATGTGACAATTGAGATTTGTTTAGGTGATTTGGATATCTACGGTAAAGGAGAAAAAATGCACCTATTAGACATATAAATAAGTGTGGATGTAAAATGTTAGGAAGAAAATGCGATAATGCTAATGATAATATGATGAATTAGTTTAACACTTCAGTAAAAACTTAGCAAGAACAAGTAAATGGATGAGGATTCGTAAAGCATGCCGTAAATAGTTGCAATATCTTATGATCCTAATTATGAGAAGGTATTATGAATCTATAACATAATAGAGCTTTAAATAACCTTCTCATATTTAGTATTGTTGCAAAACACAGTGTAACATATGCCTCCTGAATTGGCACCCCAGTTCTTAATGAACAGCGATGAAGGTTTTAATAGGCGAGAGGTTTTGGCATGCTCAAAATGAGCAGTGTCGAATGCACCAGCCATAGTGCTGATAGTATCTGTGAAATTCATGTCAGAAAATGGTGGACAAAAGATTTCTTAATTGGACATTAATTTCTGATATAGGACTTAATTTGAGGCATAACCATCTTTTGAAAAATCCAATGCACCAGCCATATTTCTGATATTGGACATGAATTTCTTAATTGGACATGAATTTCTCTTGTTTTATAAATTATCTGGTTTGGTATGCTGTGATGTTGTGCTTGTTTTTTGGTTTGAAAAATGTTGATATTGTAAATTGAGAGAATTCCTTATATTATGCTGTACTATTCTGATTTATGCATTAGTCAATATTCTTTTAATTTAAATATGCTTTCATTTTTAACATCTTTATCTAGTAGTGAGGCAACTGACCATATCCCTTTAATCATGTAGGCATGGTTTAGAGAACTACCAAATGGGATTCTAGACTCCCTCCCACCAGAACTGGTGATGCATTGCAATGCCAAAGGAGAGTGCTCCCAGCTCATTGAGATGCTGCCGCTTACCGAAGCGGCATTGCTTCACTGGGTTGTCAATTTGATGGCTGACGTTGTGGAGCACGAACAATACAACAAGATGAATGCTCGAAACATAGCCACGGTTTTTGCTCCTAACATGACTCAGGTTAGAATTTTTTGGCCGATATCTTGTAAGCAATGGTGGAATCGGGGAGAGATTGAGACTTGTTTTCATCAACTTAGGTTTAGGAGAATTACTATATAGCCCGAAAACTACCCTCTTAAATTTATACTCGGTTATGCATAGTATAGGAATTTTGCTCCCCCACCACCTAAATGTAGGATAAGAACTTTAAATTGTATGTAAACAGTCATCCTTCTTTTCTCTCTCCAGATAACTGATCCTTTAACAGCATTGATCCATGCTGTTCAAGTGATGAACTTTCTCAATACATTAATCATGAAAATCCTCCATGAAAGACAGCAGTCAGCTGCCGAAGCTCCAGAGTTGCATTCTAACCCTAAATCTCACCGGAATGATGACGGCCTTGATTTCTCGGAGGATTCTTACGTGGGTTTGAATGGCGAAATTGGTAGTTTAGATGCCTCGGAAAGTGATGCTGATGCAAGCTTCCGGAGCTTTGAAAAGAGGAGTGAAGTTGACGAATGTGAATTCATTTCTGGAAGGCCTTCACCAACTTCAAGCGATTCAGATGAATCTAAAAGCGGATATGCCAAAGGTTTCTTAAATCAACTGAGCCTTAGGAAAGGAATGCAGAAGCTTTGCAGGCATTCTGTGTTCTTGTTGAGCAGATCCACGAAGAAGACGGGTGAATTGGCTGTTTGATTTCTGCATAATGCCAATAAGGATTAATTGTAGGGGCTTGATCTTGGTATGATGTTTGGTACATCATGTTTGTAATTAATGATATCATTTGCGTGCTAACCATGTGAATGAAAAATGTCAAAAATAAAAAAAAATAAAGGGTGATTGTACAGTGATTTCAGTTATTTTTTAGGTTTTAGTGATCTTAAATTTAACGGTGATTTCGAAAGAATTATTGTGGTTGCTACATTTCTTGCTGAGTTGGTTTTGTACGGATTGTTTCGTCTGCTAGATCGTTTTAATTTTATGCAATACAGAGAAATTTGACTGTATGATTTGCAGTATATGTCGTTGGAGAAATTATTACGATATGTTTTCTAGCATAAATGTATTTCGAAATTATTTTGATGAGTGATAGCCACTCGTTGTATTCATGAACGTTTTTTCTCAAGTCCGCAGACCTGGAATTGGTTTGGGCATGTTAAATTTCAAAAATTGTTAAGTCTCGGTTTGAAGAAAATATTGTGTCTGGACTACGGCGTGAATCACACCATGCTTTAGATTGCACAGTGTGGTTTGATTCATGTCATCATCTGTGCATGTAATATTTTCTTTTGAGTTTGAGGTTAAATTTAAATCTTATTCTCGGTTTGATGCTAAATATAAGTCTTGTTCCTACCAAGCTTGAATCCAGTTAATAATCATATCAGTGCAAAATTAATGTGGAAATTGTGCTTGTGTGGCACTATTTTGTCTATTTTTTCGTTATTTGTTTAAATTGATAATGTTAATTTTAATTTAAACTTTTAACTACTTTTAAAATTTTGCCAATTCACAAAATTAAACTAAAGTGGCTAGCCGTACGCAATACAATTCTCATGCATTTACACATCTAACATCAACATTTTTTTATCTACATTATAACACATTGGTGTCATCAATATAGGCCTAAAAGTCTGCCTTTTAACTTCAAAAAGTAAAGGGCAGTGATATTTTTGATGTGAAATTAAAATTTTGAGTGTTATCTATGTAAATATTAAAATTAGTTGTTAATATATAAACATATAAGAAATATGTGGATGTATGTAAATGCCCCCACACATATTGTGAGCAAGGAGAAAAGCGTTTATAGGTCCCTCCGGTAGGCAGAACAATTTAAATGCCAAATTAATTGACTCTGCTCAACAGTGTTTTGATCGAAGAAAGCCGTCCCATACGGTCACTTTTGCTGAAGCAAAGTCGCGCCCTTCGCTCCCTGCAACTTTATTGTCCGTATGCTCAAAAAATTTATGTTCTTTTATGACCATTTTCAGCTACTCTTATTTTATTTTTCAAACATTTATACTATTATTTTCTTTTAAATTTTATTAATTGAATTACTAAATAATAATGTCTTGTTATACATGACAGCTTATTTGACCAGCAGTAGTTAGTGCATGATTCAGCGATATACTGTAGATCAAGTCTAACTTAATTTTGCCAAGCCATGCTTAATCTAGTCTGACTACATTAAGCTTGGTTTAATTATGCTAAGGTAAGCTAAGCTAAGCTAAATCAAGTCTAGGCTAGGCTAACCTACCCATGTCATGTCAAACTAATTCAAGTTATACAAAGGCAAGTGTAGTCAAACCTACTTTAGCTAAAGTAGACCTAGCCCAATCAGACTAATGTCAAGTCGAGCAATCAAGCCAATCCTATCATATTTTTTAATTATTTTTATTTTTTCTATATGTCAATCTTAGTGTTATAATAATTAAACAATATTTTAGGAGTCAATATGAAAAAAAAAAGGAATTAATTCATGTATAATTTACTTCCTATCAAGAAGTGTTCATCTTACTATCTTTCTCAGCCTTATTAAACTTAACGATGCCAGCATGACCAAGCTAAATAATAACATAACTAACTCTAGTAGCTTATCCAGGGCTCAGGGCACACTAATTTAAGCCAAGTCAATCCAAACTAAGTCAAGTTAAGCTTAACCAAGGTATGCTACGTGAAGTATCAAAACAAGCTTAATTAATAAACCCAAACTGAGCTAAAAAGTGTTAGAAAAAAGTGAAAACTAAAGCCATCTTAGCCTAGTTACTTGAGGTTAAACCAAATAAAGCTAAGTCAATTCAAGCTAAACGAGTTTATCTGCTAAACCAGAACAAACAAAACTTAGCCATGGAAATCAAAGTAAAACAAATCAAATCAAGATAACCTAAGTAGAGCTCAGACAAGTGAAACCTGGTCTTAATTAGCCTATCCTAGCTAAAATAAGCCAATTATGAGAAAACGAGTGAAGACATACAAAACCAAGATTAACAAAGCCGATAACTAGATCTACTAATGTGGGCTAATGATTTTTAATGAACTAATGTGAGCCAATGATTTACATAATAGAAAAGTAATAAAGGAGACACCATAATTTTTTTACTTTGAAAAATCCTTGTAAGAGAAAAAACTATAGGGTCTAGCATAGTCAAAATAATCTACTATATGATTGTAAGTATATAAGTTCACTCTTGTTCTAAATTAGAAAAGAAGAAATTACATATGTGCAATAGTAGCTCAGTTATAATAGTCATAATTGGACTGTTACAAATATATTTTTTGGCTTTAATAGTAATTGTTAGCCACAAATGTCTTCGTAGATGGTCATAAAAGTTGTAGCCAGTGGCTTCAAAAGCGGTGGTTGGGCATAGAGGTTCAAGTTGGCGGTTGCAATAGCGATAGTTAGCCACAAAATTTGTAGTTGAAAGCTGTAATGACATTAGTCAACCACATTGGCTATAGTGAGAAGTTATAATAGCTACTGGCCAAGGAGGCTATAGTTGGTGATGCACAGGTTGGTGGCTGCAACCCTACTCTCGATTTACAATTTTACACCATAGATAAAACTTACAAGTATACAATATATAAAAAAATTTCAGGAGTCCAAAAGAGTTTGTCATATTCAACATACAACGGTCATAAGCAGTTATCATTGGGAATTATCATTAAATCTTCAATACGATGTTATTCATTTATATCATATTTAGGATAAATTATTATATTATATTTGAGATATGTCATTACACCCTATTCTATATAATTTTTTACACCGTATATGGGATACATTGTTAGATGGCAGAGTTCGCGGATAATAGAGAGTAGGAGCAGTCAGCGGTGGTCAATTGTGGTTGGCAGCTGTGGAGGTTGAAAGTTATAACTGAGACTTTAATATGTCATTATTTGTTATATTGTACTTGATATACATCGTTACATCATATTTAGAATACATTATTACAATGTATTCAGAATGCATCATTACATTGTATTCAGGATATATTGTTAGCTAGTATAGTTTGTTGACGAAGATGAGCAAGGGTAACTGACGGTGGTTGATGGTGGGTGGTGGTCGATGGTGGAAAGCAGTTACTGGGGCTGGGAGTTATCGTTGGAATTTCAATACAACATTATTCGTTGCCATGTATTCGAGATACATTATTGCACTTTATTCGAAATACATCATTACACTGCATTTGGGAAACATTGTTAGCTATCAGAGATCACTGAACGTAGCGAGCATGGGCAGCCGAGTGGTGGTCGTCAGTGGCCAACGGGTGGCTGTCGACGGCTATGGGTGCTTGAATTTATCATCGTGAGTTTAATTCAATGTTATTTATTAGATTGCATCTGAGATACCTCGTTACACTATATAGGGATGTGTCATTGCATGTTATTTGGGATATGTCGTTACACCACATTTGGGATACATTAATATATAACTAGCAAAGTTCACTGAAGGAGGTGATTGTAGGTGGCCAAACGTGGTTGATGGTAGCCAACCGATGTTCATCAACAGTGGTCGTCGGGTGAAGTTTTCAAATACACACGAGTACGACTACCATCATCCCTCAAACGACAAAACATTAATTCAACTATCATGAATGTAAACACATAAGAATTATGTGTTGGGTTTGTAAATTGTTAATTCTCAACGGTAAAAGGAGCAAGTGGAACCATCAAAATGAAAACAAAAATATAAAGTCCCAATAGGAAAAGGAGAACCTACAACATTGTTGGTAAAACAACCTTGATTTCTTATCTAATTTCATAATGTACATAGCATAAACCTTGTTGTTAACAAATTCTCAAGTCTCTAATATAATTTTCTCAATATTTTCAATCAAACATGAAAATTTATGATGAAATCTCAATCCATGTTAATCAAATAAACAACAACCAAAAAAACCCTGTTCATATGTTGCTCAAACCATTTCTCAAAATCATACTCACATATCACAAATCAACGTATGAAGAAGGAAGCAAAAATTCCAAAACTAAAACTTGTTTGATTGGTATATAATCATTCCCGAAAAGCAAAATCAACGTAAGACTGTAAAAATCTATGCATCAACTAAAGATCACAAACCTATCAAAGAAATCTCAAAGCATACGGTGCTTTGTATGTAAAAATGTGGTTGTTGCTACCGAGAAAAGTGAAAAAATGCAATTCTCTGATGCTTTGCATGTAAAAATCCAAAAAAAAAAATCATTGTGTGCAAACCATACGGCTCGTAACAAATCCACGACGAAGAGATGATAGGGAGAGGATATCGAAGGAAGATGGAAGCAAACACCCTATCTAGATGTGTCAGTGAGTGAAGAGAAGGTGTGAATAAAAAGCTCTGGGTAGATCACTTATGAGACGAGAGCGAATGAGACGGAGGGCGTGAAAAGAAATATTGCCATATAACGTCAAATAATCCAACTATAGATCGTTGTGTGGCTTCTCGGGTGTGTTTAATAAACCGCACCCACGCTACACCAAACAAATGAAGAAATTTGCAGTAGCGGGCCGCATCGCAACTCCAAAGCCATACCAAATGGACCCTAAGTTGAAAAAAGATAATCAATATAGACACCAAAAGTTTTTACATTGAAAAACTAGAAAGAGAAAAGCCACGGGACATTGCCTAGCTGAAATTTTCTACTATATGTTGGTGATTACAGGTACATCTTTTTGCCTCACATGAGGAAAGGTTACACAGTTTCTCAGATTATAAAATATGTGTGCAGAAGAACTTGTTGCCCCACAATAGGGAGTGGGCAACAACCGAGGGCGGTCAACAGTGACTGCAGGGATGCAGTTGGAGTTGGTTGAAAGTGGTGAAAGTTGGAGTTGTCAGGAGGCAAGGGTGGTGACCAAAGTTGGTTGGAGGAGGCGGCGACGACCATAGTTGGTTGGCAAAAGCAGTTAGAGTTGGCTTGCAGTAGAGA